TGAGAAAATCACCAAATTCCTATAAAATGGCTCCTACATGTCCAAAATATGTGTAAAAAATGATGATGATTCACGTACTGCTCCCCCAACTCCGATCCCTACAGAGGTTTCTGTAAGGGTTTTGCCAAAAGATCGCCTGGAAGCTAAATCACCAAAATATTCATGGGCTAATAGACATGAAAAACTGAGAAAATCACCAAATTCCTATAAAATGGCTCCTACATGTCCAAAATATGTGTAAAAAATGATGATGATTCACGTACTGCTCCCCCAACTCCGATCCCTACAGAGGTTTCTGTAAGGGTTTTGCCAAAAGATCGCCTGGAAGCTAAATCACCAAAATATTCATGGGCTAATAGACATGAAAAACTGAGAAAATCACCAAATTCCTATAAAATGGCTCCTACATGTCCAAAATATGTGTAAAAAATGATGATGATTCACGTACTGCTCCCCCAACTCCGATCCCTACAGAGGTTTCTGTAAGGGTTTTGCCAAAAGATCGCCTGGAAGCTAAATCACCAAAATATTCATGGGCTAATAGACATGAAAAACTGAGAAAATCACCAAATTCCTATAAAATGGCTCCTACATGTCCAAAATATGTGTAAAAAATGATGATGATTCACGTACTGCTCCCCCAACTCCGATCCCTACAGAGGTTTCTGTAAGGGTTTTGCCAAAAGATCGCCTGGAAGCTAAATCACCAAAATATTCATGGGCTAATAGACATGAAAAACTGAGAAAATCACCAAATTCCTATAAAATGGCTCCTAAATATCCAAAATATGTGTAAAAAATGATGAGGCTTCACGTATTGCTCCCCCAACTGCCTACAGAGCGTACTGTAAAAGTTTTGCATAAAAATCGTCCGAAAGCAAAATCACTAAATATTTATGGGCTAACACACACGAAAAACTGAGAAAATCGCCAAATTCCTATAAAATGGCTCATAAATGCCCAAAATATGTGTTTAAAATGGTGATGCTTCACGTACTGCTCCCCCCAACTACCTACGAAGGGTTCTGTAAATGTTTTGCAAATAAAATCGTCTGGAAGCAAAATCACCAAACTATTTATGGGCTAACACACATGAAAAATTGAGAAAATCGCATCATACCTATAAAATGGCTCCTAAATGACCAAAATACATGTAAAAAATGGTGAGGCTTCACGTACTGCTCCCTTAACTCTGTAGGAGGGTTTTGTAAAAGTTTTGCATAATAATTGTCTGGAAGCAATATCACCAAAAGTATGATATGTGTCTTCACTATCCTTTGACCATTGTAGACTGCTGAAGACCCTTGTTTGAGAAAAAGAAACAGATGCTCTAGTTTTTGGACAATAGATGCACCAATCTCCTAAAAGTATGACGAAAGATATCTGTATATCATTTATGATAGTTCGGAGGTATATTTGTCATTTTTTTCTTAATAAATTATAATGTGAAAATTCAGTAACTACTAACCTCTCCATCCCCATACTTTGATTAATCATTGGGAATGGATACTAACCTTCCAATTAATTAGTTGTCTCACTCTATTTCATTAAATAATGCAACCATTGACTTTGAAAGCCAATGGGAATGCATATTAACCTACCAATGTATTAGCTGTCTAACTAATACAACCATTGAATTTTTGGTAGGATTAATTAGATCCAATCCTTTGGTTAAACCATAATTAATAATCTTGTTTAGAGTATGACACAAACATTTCCTCCTCCTTCCCTGTTATGGTCATAGTAATCTCTACTGCAAATCTTTATCAGGTATATATTTTCAATAAACATTTTTCTATTAATCTCAGTTATTTGAATATAGTTATCAACAACTCTTTTTCTAGGATTGGATCAGAACTTGGAGATACAAAAAAGGCAAAAGAAGATCAAACTTGCTTGATTGCAAATTGTAAGATAAATTATCTTTTTATTGCTTTACAAAATCTCATAGTTGTTAAATTGATACAACAGTTGTATTTTATTAATCCATTTTGCGACAACTACTATTAATTGTTTTATTCTCTAATTAATTGTTAGTCAAGTTCTTCACAACTACTTTACCTTGATAAAAATTACTACTGTTAAATGTTTTCGGTAGTGAATCAATTTCATAACTATTTGCAACCTGAAAAATAGGCATGTTATTTTTAGGGAAAAAAGACAAATATATCCCTGAAATATCGTAAATGGTATGCAGATACCATCCGTCATACTTTTGGGACATTGGTACCCCTGTCGTCCAAAAACTAGAGCATATATGCCCTTCACTCTAACGGAAGACTAAATAGGGACACGTGACACAATCTTATCCATCGATCCGATATCTAATAAATATCGGGTCAATGGATAAGATTATGACACGTATATGTCTGTTAGTATAAAGGGTATGTATACTCTAGTTTTTGGACAGCAGGGGCACCAATATCCCAAAAGTATAATGGAGGGTATTTGCATACCATTTAAGATAGTTCAGGGGTATATTTATCCTTATTTCCTATCTCATTTATTTAGTAATTTTATTATTTTCTTCTATTTTGTGTAACAATACTTTATGCTGAATTTAATCTATTTATGCCACTCTAACATAGAATATATAAGTTAATATGAAGCAAACAAAATACAATACTCCCTCTGTCCCAAATTACTAGTCAACTTTTGAATTGACACACGTATTAAAAAACAATAATTGATATAATGAGTTTACCATTTTATCCTTATTAATTATGAAGTTGATGAATTAAAAACTTAAGAATTTCAAGAAGTCATACCTTTTTCAAAGTAATAATTGAGGGTATAATAGGTAAAAAAAATATTATTTTTTCTTGATTTGTCAAAATGGACAAGTAATTAAAGACAACTAAAAAAGGAAAAATGAACAAGTAATTAGGGACAAAGGGAGTACCTCATATAGAAATGAGAAGAATATTGAAGACTAGGATAGGAAATTTTCTGAGTGATTTCCATTGAGGTAGAATCAACTATTTAATCAAAATACTAGGGATTGAACTAGGGGTGTGCACTATTTGGATTAAACCGAAAAACCAAACCAAATCAAACCGAATTGTAATTTGGATTGGTTTTTTGGATTTTTGATTTGGTTTTGGATTTATAAGTTGCTTTATTTGGTTTTTTGGTTTGGTTTCGGATTTAGAAAAATGAAAACCAAAAAATCGAAAAAAACCGAATTATATATATATATATATAAATAGATTAATAATTACACATAATATGTAGGTTTACTATGTAGGCCGTAGGTTACTAATAATTCAGTATTATTGTAATATTTAGGCCCATATCAAATTACTGCCATCCTATTTCACTAAATTTTAGGCATTAAGTTTTTACATTATAACTATAAATATCACATATTACTTGCACTTTCATGACAAAAAAAATTAGTAGAACTAGAATTTGTACTTTTCCTTGTATGAAAATTTTATTTTTTTAAGCATGCAAATATAACTTTTGATTATGTTATTAATTAGTTATGAAATAAGTTATAACCGAATAGCCAAACCGAAAAAAAAACCAAACCGAAAAGAGAAAAACAGAACCGAACCAGTTTTTTTTTGGTTCGGATTGGGTTATACTTTTTCAAACCGAAAACCGAAAAACCCAAACCGAATAACACAAAATCGAACCGAAAAACCGAATGCACACCCCTAGATTGGACTGTAAATAAAATTATAAAATGCAAACAAACTTATCTGTATGTAACTAACTTTTAATACCTATACAATTTCTCGAAGAATCTAAGAAAAGAATGTTATGCTATGATGAAAATATACGGAATTTCAAGAGTTGGTGAACTTGCAGGAATTTGCGATGACTGAAAATGACATTGACGGTGTGTTGGAACAGCTAAGAAGGATGAAGAAGTGTGGATCAGCTGATCTGAATAGCTTCAAGATTGATAAAATTGAAATGCACCTAAGATTTTTGAAAACCTTTATCATGTATCATCTTCTTTTGCCTAATTTCTTAGTCAAAATCACAGAGAAGGCCAAATCCACTGTTAAAATGCTTCACATAGTTCTTAGTGGAATTCCAGATGAATGCAAAAGTAACCTTAACATGGAAAGGCTAGAATCAGAGCTTCTGGATTCCATTTTAAGGTACAATTATGATCAGTTGAAAGATTCCTATCTGCCATAATATATGGATTGCCTCGGCAAGAATCTAAATGACGTACTAATAATGTGCCTGGAAGGGAATACGTCTTTGAAAAATGAAGAAATCCTTAGATTTATAAAGCAACTGAAAATTGTTCAAAAGAAAATGAAAATTTTGAGATATGTATATGTCTCAGAGATAAATGGTTGTGTCGAGCATGAGAAGCTGAAAGGTCTGGATACCCAAATTCAGTTCATGGCTGACAATGTCGGACAAATATGTTTTTCTTTTTGGACTTTGTGGGAATGAAGAAGAAACAGATTCAGCAAAAGAAACAGATGCCAAAGAGGATGAAGAAGAAACAGATTCAGAAGAAACATTTTATGAAGAAACATTTTACGAAGAGGATGAAAAAGAAAAAGACTCAGAAGAAGATGAAGAAGAAACGGATTCAGAAGAAACAGATTCTGAAGAGGATGAAGAAGAAATCAAAAGAGGATGAGAATGATATCTCGAGAAAGCCTTGTTATCTACTTTTCCTCGTTGTGCTAGTGGAGCTGGAAATGCAAAAGATTATTCTTGGTGAACTAAAGGCTTCAAAGTTTGCTCAATCAAGAATTTTCAAGGATAAGATATTACCAAAAGGATTTTCATATCATCTACGTAATCTGCTGGTGTATCTTAGAAATGAAAAGCTTAAGAAACTTCCTACTAATGTCACTGCTCGAAACATTGATGTGGCAATAGAGTTCTTGTTGGTTTTTCTCGGTGATGTGCCAAATCATGTTATTAATGGCAAGGGGCTGAATGAAGTCTTAGCAAACATTGGAGTTCTTGTGGGAGACGTACTATGTGTAATTCAAATGCTTCTTGCAGAATCTACAATCAAAGAAGACTCTAGCAAGATTGATCTTGACACGATGCAAATATTGGTGAAAATTGAAGATCTAAGGGCACAAGTGGAGGAGAGGTACAAATCCTTAAAATACAGTCCATCTAATTATGAGTTCCCCACTGTTGATGGATTGAACTTTTTTGATTCTCTTCTAAGGAAATTGAATGAGATGTTGAAATCTGAATCAAGTTTAGATTTCCTGATGAAACCCCATATTGGTATTTTAGAGTAAGAGCTTTCATCTCTAACATCTGTTTTCAGAGATGTCGCAAAGGTGCAACATAAACATGATGAAATTCCTAAAGATCTTCAGAGGTGTGCTCTCAATTTGGCATATGAAGCTGAAGTATCCATCGACTCTATTCTTGTTAAATATAATGCTCTTTGGCATTCTTTTTGTTCACTTCCTGCAATCATAGAAGAGATCAATCATATTAATGTGGAGGTGACAAAGATGGGGTCGGTGAACCTTGCTTTGAGGCCATTCTTTGTAGTTGAGCCATCTAAACATCTGCTACCTCAACATAGCAATGTTATGAATGATGACGACGATATTGTTGGTTTTGAGGATGACACAAAAATAATAATTCAGCATCTGATATGAGGGACAAGTGAGCTAGATGTCATCCCTATTGTTGGGATGGGAGGGAAAGGTAAAACAACTTGTGCTAAAAAGTTGTATAATAATGACATCATTGTTTCTCATTTTGATGTTAGAGCATGGGGCATCATTTCTCAAACATATAACCGGATAGAGCTATTACAAGATATTTTCAGTCAAGTAACTGGTTCCAAGGGAGAGAAGGATGACGTCCTTGCTGAAATGTTGAAGAAAAAATTAACGGTAAAGAGATATCTCATTGTATTGGATGATATGTGGGATGGTAAGGCATGGGATGACTTAAGGCTTTGTTTTCCAGATGTTGGAAATAGAAGCAGAATAGTCCTAACAACTCGACTTGAGGAAGTGGCTAAGCAAGCGAAGCACCATACTGATCCTTATTATCTTCCATTCCTAAAACCCGATGAGAGTCTAAAGTTGTTGCAGAAAAAGGTGTTTCAACAGGAAGGTTGCCCGCCTGAACTACAAGATGTGGTCAAGCGGTTGCAGAAAGATGCAAAGGACTGCCTCTGGTGATTATCTTGGTAGCTGGAATTATCAAAAGGAAGAAAATGGAAGTCTCTTGGTGGGATGAGGTTAAAAATTCTCTGCTTTCCTATCCTGGTGAGTCCGAAGGATATTGTCTTTCAACTATGCAGTTAAGTTACAACAAATTACTCGATTATTTAAAGCCTTGCCTTCTTTATATGGAGATGTTTCCGGAGGAATTCCAGTGTCTAAATTGATAACTCAAGTACCTCGCAGTTCTCGCACGTAAATTCCATTTTCATCCGGAATCACATCTGCTGCATCTTGAAACTTTAATTGTGAAGGGCATGAGCATAACTAAGAGTAAGGTGTTACCAGCGAGTTTTTGGAAAATGGGAAAATTAAGGCATGTTGACGTTTCTCGGGCTGAATTTGATAAGCAAGGTATCTTAGAACAATCCCTTAAATTGGTAAATTTGAGGAAATTAAGGAGAGTTCCTACTTAGGTATCTCAAGGTGGGATGCCTCGGAGGAATCCTTTTCCCAACTCGAAACACTTGTTATAAAGAGGTGTGATGACCTCGAGGAGATCCCTCTTAGCTTTGCAGATATTTCAACACTGAAACAGATTAAGTTGATTAAGTGTGAGAACGAATCTCTCAAGGCTTCAGCTGCCAAAATTAAGGAAGATGTTGAAGAGAATGAAGGAAACGACCGTATTGACCTCATTATCAAAGTAAGTAGAAACAAACTCCTAAATATGTTGTGTTTTTGAGTATCTATATGCATCTAATGTGCAAACATTACAGGATTGGTGAATCAAGTATGTGCCTGTCGATCTGATGGAAATTTCATACCAGCATTCGGAATGAAGATGTGAAATCCTACTAAAGTAGTTCGTCTCAGAATCATAACTTGGAATATAGAAAACTCCAAGGTTTTGATAAGAGTCTTAGATTTAAGCTCATTGACATGATACTTTACTATGTACTTAAAATTTTGAAGTTTGTTATTGTGCCAGCTATTGAAATATAGTATATATTCTTTTTTCACTACTGCTTCTTTCATTTACTTGACATAGTAGGAGACTAGATAGTTGTCCACTATATTAAAAATAGTTGTCCAACAATACTTGTTCAGTTTAGAAAATCAAGAGATAATTTATCATTCGTGTCTATTTTTCCCTTGCTATTAAATACTAGTTATCATCTAATACATTTTTCAAAGTATTATATTTAATAAAGTCAATGGATAGAATAGTAATATTACCTCTATTATTTATTGTTTCTTAAAGGGTGTGTCAAGTCAATAGTGGACAACTATTATTGGACAGATGGAGTAGATGTTATAATAAGTTGATGGGCATGATATCCGTGAACTTGTGTTATGTATTGTAACTTTTTCTTTATGTTCCTCTCCTATTTGGACTATTTCAATGTGTGATTCGACTAAAATGCTTGCCAGTCTAAATGGTTGTCGATCCTTTTTTTGACCCGCTCTCATCGGTCTGCCCTCCATTATTTGCATCACACATTGGATATGGAGTTAAAGATCTCACACGGTCAGTACTCAACTATGAACTCTTCTCTCAGAAAGTCACTGAACTGTGAATTTGTTTCTCAAAAAGTCACTCAACTATAATTTTTTTCTCAGAAAGTCACTCAACTTTGAATTTTAATCCAAAAGTCACTCACTCAAGACTCAACTATGAATGATTTATTTATAAAGTCACTCAACCATTGTTTTACTTACAAAGTCACTCAACCTATTCAATTAATTACAATTTACTTTGATGAAATTTTTATTCCTTTTAAAAAAAGTATCCATTTGTATTTTTTTAAAGTTAAATTGGGCATTGCCCTTTTATTAAGAATATAAAAATGGACAAAAAGCAAAAGACATGGGCACAAAAGAAACCCACCTCCAACTCTACCCACTAAATAAGAAACAAAACTAAATCTACACTAAATAGACACCGATGGTCGGAACACCATTAGCGTCGGCAACCTCAAACTCCGGTGGCCTCCCAATAACAATAATCTTTCAACAGCAAAGCTCCTGAGCTTGAGTGACATCCACAAAAGGCGTTTACAAGTCTCACAAACGCCATGAATTCAATCTCTTTGAAGACTTCTTCAGCTCACAACTCGCGTCTTTGGTTTTGTCGTCAAGGTAAGGCCCCAGATCAAAACTAAGTATAGGAAAGAACTAAAGGCCAGAGAATTAACCAACCGTCACTTCGTCTTCTGCAGATTGAGCTCCTAAGAGCTAATACCACTACATGAACACTAAGATCTAGCAGGTATGCTTCTCTTTGACCTTTAAGGACCCTCCTAATCGACCATATGAATTCAAAGCTAAAGAATCTAAGCATGAATTTAGAATCCATTTGTATTGCCAATTATACCATGCTTAAAAAATATCCAATTTCACCGTTAGTATACTATGCTTAATTTTTATTTTTTTCAAACTGGAACGATGTTCCATACACATATTATACAAAGTGTAGAAAAAATAATCAAAACACATGGAATTTAAAGGTTCTTAAAATAATAAATCCTAACTATTATATTTGGGGGAAAAGGTAAAATAAAAGGATCACTATTATATTTTTAGTGGATTGAGTCAAGTAGGTAGGTCATTTTTTTAACAATTTTAGTTAGAAATAAGTAAATTTTAATTAAAAAAATTAATTGAATAGGTTGAGTAACTTGTAAGTAAAACACTCTTAGTTGAATGACTTTTGAATTAAAAATCAAAGTTGAGTGACTTTCTGAACAAATAATTCATAGTTGAGTGACTTTCTCAAAAAATAAATTATAGTTAAATGACTTTTGAGTTAAAAACTAATATTGAGTGACTTTCCGAGAGAAAAATTCATTATTGAGTGATCATCTTAGATACTACCTCGTATTGATATGGGTGTCTTTTTGTTTAAAGAAAATGACTACATAGTGGGTCTTTTTTTTTGTTTAGGTGGCAGACAATACTTGTGTGAGGTCCTTCTATGCTTTGCCAAGTGGATTTTGGATCCCACTTGCAAGAAAAATGGCCTAAAGGTCCTACTTTTTTCTTCAATTCCTTAAAACTTTTCCAAAAAATTATATTTAAATTTTTCGACACACAAACTTTGGTTTTCCTCAAATAAATGATGGCGCAAAAGATGATGTTGTTTCTCGATTAACTAGAGGTTTTGAGTATGAAAAATTCTTGGTAAGCAGTATATCACTTCGAACAAAGCTCTACACAATGCAAATCTTAAATTGTCGCGTTTTAATTCATATACCAAATTTCAAATAAAAAATTTTAAAAAAAACATCATACAAAAATAAAATAAAATAATGTTAAGAGTTAACAAATAGTAGAAAAAAATGCAAGAAAGTGTTTTGAAGAAAGAAAGAAAAAAGTATAAAAAGAAAGAAGGTTAAAAATAGATGAGAAAAGGAAATGAAAGAAAGTGACATGTGGTCCCATAACATACACTTGGCAGCCAAACAACCCCTCACACAACTGACAATACTTGCACCGATAAAAAATTTCATTCATACACAATAATTCTGTTTGTGCCATTGACAACTCTAATTATTGTTTAATCTCCTCACCCATTTTTCTGTACTAGATAACACCTTGTGCCATAATGGATACAGATCTACCACTGAGAAATAACAGGAGATTCGATAAGTTAAGATTGAGGTGATTTTTATTGATTCATAATTTATGGAAATATTTATCCCAATATAAGAGTACTCTTAGCTTGACTGGTGGAGGAATTTTGGTGATTGTTTTTCCTTTAATTTCTATCCCTAAAAAATTCAATTAGGGATATTCATACACAAGTCATAATGAATAAAGCTAACAAATTCGTTTTGGTTCCATCGAGTCTCCTACGGTCAAGTAAACGAAAGGAGGAGAAATAAATTGTACAATAAACTCGTATGGATGTATATAAAACTTTTAGATTTTGAGGTTGAATTAGGTTCAAGTATCATAACATTTTTTTATAAGGTATCATAGCTAGATCTATTCTAGTTTGCACTCTTGGTCTAGTTGGGTCTAGATATGAACGAGAGTTTTAAAGTGGGTTAGAGTCCCACATTGATTTGGAACAGATTGATAATTTACTTATATGGACTTAAGCAATCCTTGCATCATGAGCTACATTTAGAAGTTGAATTTGGTTCAATGCCCATATCTGTACACAATTAGTAGGCATTTGGACATGCGATTTAATATCGTGATATGAAATCAGCGTTTGGACATACTGATTTCATCTCATGATTTGAGATTTTTCAAATACAAAAATTGATCCACAAGTTTATATCTTGTAAAAAAAATCTAAATTTAGTTTTTATATATATATATATATACACTAGCCATTTGTTTCATATGTAAATAAAATTTATAATTCATATCGTTACTTTTTAAACCGTTTATATCTCATATTAAAATTATTCTCGCCAATATAAAATTTATTTTTACTTCAAATCAATTCTTAATTTACCATTTATATTCACCAAATTCATTATTTTTTATCAAATTTATCACTACTCATTCAAATCAATGTTTAATAATAATAAAAATTTCATCATTATATTGAGTGTACAAGATTAACCATTATGACATTAATTGAAAAAATATTTTTTTTAGCTACTAACAACTTGAACACTACAACTTATGTTCAATTTTTTTTTTATTGAATTAAGGTTTTATCAATAAATATTGTATTTTTTTTAGAATAGTTTTGTGATAATGTATTATGCTATTTTATTATTTTTCACTTATTTGGTAAGATTGTATAAAAAATTGAGACAATTTTAATAGTTTTACAACTTATGTGGGTTTTATGTTTATGAGAAACATATAATATAAAAAGTCCAAATTGCATGTCCAAACAAAACTCCAACTTCATCTCATGATTTAATATTATGATTTCATATTGCATAGCTAAACGGCCCCTTAGATTACGATTTTGCCACTACATTAAATTTAAATGTTATAAATTATGTAATAAATTAAATATTAAATAGTAAATTATCATATTAGTACATGAATCAACCACCATAAAGTCTCTTGAATATGTATTCTTTGTATTAATTTTATGTTGGAGTAAATTCATGAATTTTTTGTTTTGTTCATCTTCCAATTGGAATATGAATGATTTTGTTTGACCTTCACAAAAAAAAAAAAACCTTACAAACCTATATTATATTCTTTATATATATATATATATATATAAATATTTGTATTAATGTGAAGTACATTACAAAAATGTTATTACCACTAACTCTCCATTATGTAAATATATATAACTCCTACTAATTATATTTATTATGATTTTTACTCTCACCTCTCATCCTCATCATCTCAAATGAATTAATATCATATATATTCATGACAACTCTTTGTGTTCCTCAATCCTATCCTATAAATAATGACATGTGACACAATATTATACACACTTAAAACCGTTGAAGAAAAAAAGAAGAGAAAATCTCTATGCTCTCTTCTCTTGTCTCTTTTTATTTGTTTTGTTTAATGTTTATGTTTCTTATTTGTTGTTATTGTACAACTTTCTATAGTTTTGTTGTTATTATTATTGAGAATTTACCGTGGTTTGTTGTTTTGTATACATTAGCCTAGCATGTGGTGTTTTAGTATGCTCATTTGAATATTATATTTGATAGTTAGTTATTTTTAAGTTATGCACTTTTAGTCAATTTCATAATTAAGAATGTATTCTTTTTATTAGGAAAGATATATGTACTTTCTATAGTAAAAATGATGGATTGTTTTTAGTAAATACCAATAGATTTGAAGATAAAATGTCATTTGCAATACGAAATTTACATGAAATATTTGGGATAAACGTGCAACGCATGTTCCCAGAACTAGTATAAATATATCAGAAATGTTCCAAAGTTGTACTTGTACTAGCTGCAAGAACTCAAATGGCTTCCAAACAAGAGGTAATTCTTAATCTAATAATAATGCTTTTTGTATTGTTTCCACAGCTATTGCCTTTTTGCACTGTTTGTTTAGTCGTCTTTTGAGAACATTCTCTCTACCATCTCAAAGATAAGGTTAACGTTTGTGTACACTCTACCCTCTTCAAACTCGACTTGTGGGATTACATTGGGTTTGTTATTGTTGTGTTGTTGAATTGTATTGTATCAACAATACATTCATTTATCTATCTTAAGAATCTCTGTTAGGACATCAATCTGGCTCTCGTTGCCAGATGTGGAGTTCAATTTTTATACGCTCACAATGTAAAAGATTGTTTACACATGTATATACTACCTGCACCGGCGGAGCCACATGTATTCAAGGGGTGTCAATTGATATCTCTTCGTTGTAAAATTACACTGTCTAGCTAATATGATTTTATGGTTTCACTAATATGTTTCTCTGAGCTGAGGGTTTTTCGGGAACAACCTCTTTACCTCCACGAGCTAGGTTTTCAGACCCTACTTGTGTGATAACAATGTGTTTGTTGTTGTATTTATCTGTTTCTCCTTTGTGGTTTTTCATTTGATTGATTGACTCCATCAGATATTAATTATTCTGTAATCGATAATAACCGGGAAGTGCTTGTTAGAACAAAAATACTCAAGAAACTGATTTGAAGAATAAAAATTGAGTGAACTTATGAAATTCCTACTCTGTATTAATTTGCATAAGATCTGAATTTATACAAGGAAAAACCTAACCATTTCCTATCTAGTAGCCACTAACAACCATAAAAGGGGCCACTAA